ATGGGATGGGTCGACGTATTGCTAAAACTTCGGCATAAACGATATCATTTCAAAAAGAGCTTATTGCTCCTATATTCCTAAATTCCGAACCCAAACCACTTACGTAAAACCGGAAACCTACCGTAACCGGGGCTTGGTGGTGGGCCGCGCAGCTGTCGCAAACCGTCTGGAATTTTTGGATGTACGCTACGTTATCAACCTCCTTACATTGCCATTTGGGTAAAAAGTGCTGCCACAAGACAGGCACTCCGAATTCGCGTATTGGGCTTGCATCCCGGCGCCCGGGAGGACGTAAGTCGTGGCGTAAGGGTTGTCGATTCTGAAATTCGTTGAAATTCCAGAATTCTAGAGTTTGGAAGAAACCAGATAGTTCAAGATAAAGAGGGAAGAAGGTTAAAAATCTTCACAGTTCTCGTAAAATTTGACCGCCCTACCGTAACTGAAACTGTGCCTGCGCGGCCATGTATTGATTCGGGTCGATCAGCTGGTTCTCGTAGGTCTAAAATTCTTGATGATGGGATTTTTGAGGCTTAAACTTACGTAGAACTGATTCCCAAACTGGGAATTCAGGTCCGGGATCGCTTGGGCTTGTGTGAGGCCTCCAAGGTCAGCTAAAAAAAATTGATGAAATTTGCATAAGAACTTACGGATTCCAGTCGCCAAGAAATTAGTGCCAGGCTGGAGTAGGAGGGCTTCCGGTTTGGCTTCATACGATGATGAGGCCATTAGCGCCGTAGGTTCGATCACTGCAAAATTACATCAATTAAGTGCAGCTGGAGAGTTTATACCGAAATTGTAAGCTTATAAAGTGCTTTTGAGGTTACCTGAAGTCCTTGTCGACGTGCTCGGCGCCGGCTTCATCTCCTCAAAACTAGCCGTCGATAGCAGCGTGGCGGAGGGGTAGACGGAAAGCCCTGGAATCCAAAAGTGAGTGCAGAATAACACCAAAACCTGAGTGCATCGCCAGCTCGTTCTCGGATTTTGGAATCGACATCTGGAGGGCGATTTGGCTTTGGTCAAAGTAGGGGAGAAAGCCTTGAGTCGCGTAGTCCATGCCGTTGGTGGTTAGGGTACCGGTCAGGTCCATGGTACCTGTAAAAAAAATTAACTAATTCAATTATGCTATTTAAGTGTTCGTATTTTTCACACCGAATTTGAACCTATTCAAATTGAGCGGCACCCAGGCAACGCTCAAAAATTGCCAGCCGCTTATCTAATCTTTAAATCGCTAGGGGAAACTAGGTACGAGAAAGCTGGTCGGGTTAAAATCTGGACCAACGACCAAAATATCGAATAATGGGCCACCGTGTTTCGATTAATTGCAAATTTCGAAATCTGTTATTGCCCAATTCTCAGATGCAATTCAAAGGGGAGCCGGGAGAAGCGGGCCTCGGTTTCGAGCACCGCTGGGGGGCGTGGCGGCTCGATCGATACCCCCAATCGGGGGATCATCTACCGTAATTCGGGCGGACAGTTACCGATGCGAAAATTAGAATACCTTCAAAATACTTTAGAAAAACAGAGACATGTGAAAACCAAGCTGTTTTCAGGGAAAATGCCTAAAAGTTACTAAAAGACCAGCCGAATCTTCAAAATTTTAGCCAAAAAACGCGTGCAATACCTTAAAATATGCCGCGATTGATTTTATGCGCTGCTCTTCCTTGGCTTTGACGCATTGAGGCGCCGTTTTGATTTTCATCAAAAAAATATCAAAAACTGGATAAATCTTGAAAGTCCAAGCCAAAAAACGCATGCGAGAATTTAAAATAGTATATAGTTATTAGCCTTAAAGGATTCCGTTTTTGCTATTGCCGCATCAATGACGTTTTTCCCTGCTATATTAACATACCATAATCATTCCGCTGCAGCCCAAGCAAATCCGCAGAGCTCGTCGGCGCCGGGATCAGAATCGGCACCGCCGACGACGTGGCTTGCATCTGAAGCGCCAGAAACATTGGCTAAGCCGTAGAATTGGATGAATAGAAATGAGTGAAGTTGTTCTTCCATCATATCAATCCAAAAAAGGCCCAGCCAAGTTGCGCAACGGTACACAAAAATTGATAGCAGCATGGGCAAAGGAATGATAGATACTGGATGGAGTTGAGATAGAGCCCCCCGGCGGCTCTATCAGGTTGAAAGGAGGTGTGAAAGTTATCTGGCTATTCCCGGTGTCCGAGTGTCTGTTTGGGTTTGTAGATAACTTCTATCAAACATGCTCGCCCTGTTGCCAGCCTCGGAATACATGCCAAGACTAGATATGGTTATCGCTAGCTCGATTTCTCGGGTGGCGGTGGTAGGCATTGACTTTTGCCGGCTCTTTTTTTATTCTAATTAGGAATAAAAAGTATTTGACGTTTTGTTATAATTGCTGACCTAGGTTAGGGATATTTGATTATTACGGTACTTTATTAATTCATTAAGCGGCTCATTAATCCTTTCATCATTTCTAGCCTATTAACGTAGGAATGGTGTCTTACCCTTGGAATTACTACATTATGCACCAGGCCTCTATGCGACTTACAATACCATTATGGACGGTACTTTAAGCGGTATAATACCAATTTAATCTGATTATTTGTGACGTTGAAACCGTCCTCTAAACGACTTTTAAATAACACTTTTAGTATAGTAACTTACAATGGAAAAGTACTAGAGCGTAACGCTTGTATATTTTCGGTTATTAATTTATCATGAAGCGCACTAAAATAGTATACTAGCCCTTGAAAAGCTAGTGTATTGAAAAATAGGATACTGCCTAAATTGATTCTTGTAGACCGGTCGCTCAGATATGCTAATCTAAGTTTGGAGAATTAAGTCTTTCAAATGTTGTGAAGAAGCAAGGCGTTGAAAAGCCGACGCGGTGAATGAGGGAGGGGGAGACTGGCCGTTTGGCGAGTTTCATGAGGCCACCGTACCGTATTGAGGAGGGCTTGGTCGCCCCTTCCCTTATCAGTCGGGGACGGTGCCCGCCGGGCCCGGCGTTTGGCTGGTGGCACCGAGGGTTGGAAATTCTGCGCCTCCTCCAGCCCTTCGAATTATGTTGCCCGACAATTTTGGTGAAACATTAGGGGGTAGCGACGAGGTACTCTCGAATGGGGCATCCGAATTTTCTCCCATAACGTCCTTTTCGGGGTCGAAAATGATCAAGCCACCATCAGGTCACTTCATCAAAAATGTCGAAAGACGGGAAACTGCTACTTGCTCCATGATTTTCTAGGTACTGGACTTTTAGCAGCGGGGTAATTCATTTTCCAAGCGTATACAAAATGTGCGAAAAAATTTTATGCATGAAAAATAAACAAAAAACCGGCAAAAAATCTCTAATTTTCAAAAGTTGTCTAAAATATTTTTGTGTAACTTTTTAGCAATCAAAAACTATTGAAACCATGTCAAGAATACAGTGTTTGTTATTAACAGGTAGGAGGTATAGACGGGAAAGGAAAATTGGTTCTCCCCCCTGTTAAAAGTCAAGTACGTCAGAATCGTTTACATTACGCAATGGAAAAAAGCGGGTCCGAACCCGGCGGGTGTTACCTCAAAACGTTTACCTTAAAAATCGTATACCTAAAAATTGGCATGATAACGGCTTTTCTAGGTTTTATAGCTGTTTTATTTTGCTCATTTGAATAGCTGTTTTGGTTCGTTCCGCAATCGGCACACGGCCAAGTTTTCACTTTGTGATAGGTGTGGGGGCCGAATAAACATTTATCAGGCTGGGTATAATCTAAAGGGATGGTGGTCCAGTAAAGATACGGGACCCCGCGGGGCCGTGCTGCTTCACAACCACAGTGCGATAGTGGACAAGCAGTCTTGGAGGCGACGGCGGCTCGATATCGGACGCAACTTGCGGATTTTCGTTGGATTCGGCATCGATTTCTAACGTTCAAGATTTTACGGCTTTTTCTAGCGATCAACCTCCATCTTTTCTTACAGCTTATCGTTCTGGAGCTTGATGTTCAGCTCCGGTAAGGTATCTAGCTTGCTTCTTGATTTAACGATAACTGAAGAATCAAATTCTGGATTTCGCGGCCCCTTAAAAAGATTCCTGGCTTTTTCTAGCCCTGAAAATTACTAGAATCACCCTGAAATTCACAAATAGTGAAAGAATGACTTTTAGAAAAATGCTAAAATTAGGATTTCGTTACTTTACGCTACCGTACCCCTAATTACTGTAAGCTTCCCCCGCGACCAGCTACGGTAATACGATGGGCCATACTCTTGCCGGGTCCCCCTTTGGTGCCAGGCTGTCGGGGCGTGAATATGGGCGATCCCTTATCAGTCAACTCGCTCCTCAATACACCCTCTTTCCGCTTCATGACTGCCCGAAATGACGGGCAATATTGATTGAAATTAGGGGACGCCTTCGGATGAGCTCCCCCCCCCACCACATTCCATCGAGAACGAAAACGGGGGTTGGGGTTGAAAAGCTGTAGTGATTTGTAGTTTAAAGAGTGAGGACGGCAGGTGTCGATGCCCATCAACAAATTGGCAAGTAGCCAACAGGGCAGAGAGCGCCCAGGGGAGAGGCGCAGAGACACTTTCGTTCCAGCGCGTAATCGATTGACTATGCCGTTGGCATCCCCTTAAATTTCGTAGTTTGAATTTTGTAGTTTCAAAGGAGTCGGTAACGGATGGGCATGGATTAAGCGGAAAGCCTTGACCCAGGACGTATTTTGCAAAAAGCACTTAAAAAAAGCCGCAAGATTAAAATTCATACAACTTTTACAACTGATTTAAGCGTTTTCGGCCAGTTTTTAGAATAAAATTCTGTTTTTCGACAAAACATGGCAAATATAACCTTTCAAAAATACTTTATTCTGATAAAAAACTCTTAAGAGCGTTTCGTATGTATGTCTTTCCAGAGCAATCCAAAAATTTAGACTTTTCAAAATATACAATTTATTAAAAAGCAACTACTAATCACAAAGATCTATCTCCATTGAGCACCATCTGGTAACGATATTTTTTTATAATGAGCTAGACATCGATCAGGTAGATTATCCCATCAACGTTGAGGTCAATAACTCGATAGAATTATCTGTTGTCGGCATTGTTTCTATAGTTCTTGTCGTCATTTCCGTAGTGCTCGCGATTTCCGTAACTGTAGTTGGTAGCGTTGTAACTAAAAATCGATACCTCCAGGAAAAAAATTATCTTTCTCACCAGTACTAGAGGTCGCTGGCGTCCGCGACGTCAACACCCGATACGGCCTAGCGATTTTCAGTTTTTCCTGTAATTAAGGTCCATTTTGTGGTGATTTTTGGAGGCTCACCTGGGTGGGGTTTGTAGAAAATACATATGGCTCCTCCAAGGTAATTACAGCGTTTTTGTTAGCCTCGTTTGGACCTCTGGAAACATTGAATTGCTAATTAATCTATACAAATACCTAGAGTTAAAAATAATGACGTTAAATCAGGTTTACCTTAAATAAAACATTCCTATCACAACGGCGATCGCAACCAAAATTAATAGACCGATGATGGGGGCGAAAATCTGAAAAATAGATGGTTTGATGGTTGATTGTCGCTTCTATTTTTCTTTTGCTATTTATTGTCGATTGTTCTATTACACCTTAGTTTTATATAATGGCTATTAATTTATATAAAATCGAAAACATATATTTTTGTTGTAAAGTCCTTAAAAATGCAACTTTAGCGTACCCTCGGTATCAGCGCTCTCCTTGGATCGACCATATTTTCAGGTAATCTGCAGAACCTTGACAATAGAATAAAAAAGATCCGAGACGACACGAAACTCTAATCCATCAAAATCAAAGAAGCTTCGTACCACCGAGGGGGGAATTTCCCGAAAACGGATTTGTCTATCCCAAGGTATCCACGGGGGAGCAGTGTGGATAATTGGGGGTCTCCACCGGGAAAATATCTTTTCACCTGGGCACATATCCAGGAAATCCTGGAAAATAAAAGCCGGGAATGGGAATAGACTGAGACAATGGAAAAGATCGGAAAGGCATCTGGCCAACAGCAAGAAGACGACACGCACAAAAAAATTGGAAAATTTGGAGTTGTGTGGGAATTTTAGAGGTAATGATTAGTAACGGAGGAGCTGAGGTAAAAGGGGCTACGAATTCTGAGCAATTCTGCGGGTGGAAATGGGAAGAAATGGGGCGTTAGTGGCTGGCTTACGCTTGTTGCGTCTTGCGAAATGGATATAATTTGCTTAACCTGAGATTTGATGAGCTTACGACTTTTGTACTACATTTTGAGGATTCAGCTAGGAACCAAAAGAAAGTTAGAAAGAGAGCGAGTCAGAGAGAGAGAGAGAGAGAGAGCGAGTGAGCGAGAGAGGGAGAGAGAGCGAGAGAGAGAGAATGAGGGCGAGAGAGAGACGTAGAAAAACCGACGCTTCCCAAGAATTGACAGACGAGTTCACTAGATCTACTCAATATCTAGAACTGATTTCTAGAAGTTCAGCCACTTTTTCCAGGTATCTGCTGTAATTAAATCTGGTAAATTTCTCCGAAAAAAGAATTTGTCCGTTGGAGTCCTAATTAAAAAAGGCAACGGCATCTCTGGACAGTAACTGAGGAAAGCAAAAATGCGGTTAATCACTAATTCGCGGCGAGATTACTCAATTTGTGGTACATGCATGGGAAATTTTGGTGGCTAAGAAACGATTGAGTTGTATTAGGGTAAATACAACATAAAGATTAGATCTAAGCAGTCAAGGATGTAGGTAAAAACCAAAAAAAGGAGAAAATTGTGTCGATTTCTTTAATTTATGGCGATATACAGTCAGAGGCAAATATGGAAAATTACGAAGATAAAAAGGAAAGGAAGTTTTTTAAAAGCCCGAATTTCCCACCAAAATCCCCCAAAAATCGAATTCTAAAAAACGAGCTTTCAACCTCCACCTACTTCCTACAGGCCCTCGCCACGCTCCACCTCTTTTTTTCCCTAGAAATAACAATAAACGCAATTTGGCGCCGGGCCCCAAGAAACGGGCCGCCGCGGGCCCGGTGGAGGCAATTATCGCCGAAGCTGAAAATATGGCAGCGCACACCGCGTGGGGCACCCTATTTGGCGCCCCCCTTTGATTCAATGCCACAAATTCCCTGGGAATCGCCCGCAAATTTCCTGCGAATGTTTGCCCTGGTTTTTTGCAGTTCAGACCTAACGGGAGTGAGCGAAACGGCAGACTTTCACGTGGATTTTGCAAGAACTTGCTGGGTCGTCTGAAACGCGTCAAATTCAAGCAAAGCACAATATGCCGTCATTTGGAATTCCGCGTAGTGCCCAGCTACAAATAATGGAATTCCTATAAACTAAATCGTTTTAAAAATGCGGTGGCCTTTTGCGGATACTGTATTGATAAATATTCGCAAAACCCTACTGCTGTGCTACAAAAGTAATTATATGAAAAAAGGTATTGCGCAACCCTTTTTGTGAAAGTGGATTTTTTACAAAAATATCCTTATAGCGTCCAAGCATTTTTTAAGCTTATGAATTAGTAAAAACGATAACATCGCTTCAAAAACGTTTCCGAAACAAAGTTCTTACATCAAAAATTTTTACAAATAGCACATGTTTTAAAAAAACTCAGCATACACGAGATCCTCTAAAAATTTAAAATGTAAAAACTACATTGCCGGCCTATTAAGTTCTAAGTTACTCAAAGTTTTGCTGGTTTTTCGGCTTTCGGCTCAATTTGAATTTGCGAGCCCCGGGAAGCGTCGTCTAGAGGCCCATAATTCGTAGATTTTTTGCAGACAAAAGACGCAGCAGCGTTCATGCGACTTTCCGGAAAATTAGTGGGCAGGAGTAAGCCGCAACTACAAGAAAGTTACTCCACAAAGTACAACAGAGCACCCTGAAGGCCAGATCGTCAAAGCTTAGCATGAAATACAGGGTGTCCCAAAAAAAACCCCCACCCCCCCCCCCTACCTAGCGGTCCGCAGTCGATTCCGATTTTTACGATTTAGGTATCTATCGAAAGCTCTCGAAAAGGCGAGAAAACAAGGAGGGTTGAATTTCTTAATTATGCTTTTTTATTTGCTAATTTTATGTCCAAAAACCATGAAAACTGCTGATTTATGCGAAATCTGCATGCTAATTGCAAAATTCCTGATGAAAAATTCCCGGCTTTTTAGGAAAACCTGAAATATCGGTAGAATCTGATTAAATTTTAGAAAACGAAACCTGCTTGTTTTCTCGCCTTTCCGAGAGCTTTCGATTGGTATAAAAATCATTCCGATCCGATCCGATTGACGGCCTCTGGAGGGGGGGGGGGTTTTGGGACACCCTGTAATTAAATGACCTAGACGAAGAAAGCTGTTAGGTTTGAAACGAGTCAGAATAAGTATCTGAATGGCACCTCTGAACTGACTTAACCGTGCCGAAAAGCCCACCGGAATCTCGGTTCAACGGACTCGTTAGGAACGCCCGAATACCCCAACCACTACGGACACCCCTAGACACACCCCCATTACGGCTTAACGATGGGTAATTGGGCCTATTGAATGGGTGTGCGATGAATTGGAGTTAACTAGCAGATACAAAGAATGATCACCGATTAACGAGTTTCTCGAAAATTTGTATATACGTTCGTGCTTGCAAAAAATACAAAGTACACGGTGTTCATGTTGTATAAATCGAGACCGGGGGTTAATCGTTTGGCCATGCGTCTATTTAAGTTGAAGGTACCTTACAACATAGTCAAAAACTTACCTAGCAAACGTGTTATGCTCGGATAATGGATTTTGATCTTTTGGTTTGAATCCTGGGCGAATCGCCTTGCACCCAGCCGCGTCGTCTAGCCTCCCTAATTCGTAGATTTTTTGCTTGCACGGAACGGGCAGCAGAGTTCAGGCGCAATGTCGACGCAAAAAAAGGAAATGGGGTAGCGCGGAAACCGAGAAATCCGGAATCTTTTACCGCTGAATACTAAAGTAATTTACTCACAGAACGAATAGGTGTGAATTCTTTAATTGCGCAATGTGGGTAACGAAAAATGAAACAAAAGCCATACTGGAGAAAAAAACCAATGGGATAGAGATAGAGCGAGAGAGTGAGATAGCGAGAGAGCGAGAAAGAAGAGAGAGAGAGAGAGACAGAGAGAGAGAGAGAGAGAGAGAGAGAGAGAACTGACGAACAACTTCTGGGACTAACCTGACCTGGAGCGGAATTTCCGATGCGGTTCAACGGATTCGTTAGCGACGCTCGGATACCCCCAGACACCTCTCCCACGCCCCGATGATTGGCTTAACGACGGATAATTGGCCTTTAAAAAAAGGTGCGGGATGAATGGGATGATGACCAGTTGATGCTCGAAATTTGCACTAGCTTTCCAATTTCTTAAACCGAGGTTTCGCCAGTAATTGGGCAATGTCGATCTTCTGTTTGTTCCTCTATTAGGCTATTTATTAGCTTTAGAACGTTTTGTAGCACGTATCTTAACGGTAAGATTTTCACGAAATACAGCCAATGTTGCGGTGGTGCCAAGATCATGGAACTGATTGAGGGAATTTCATTTATGGCTAGTCAGAAAACGGACGAATGAAAATGTTCCGAAATAAAATGCAAATACAAAATGAGAATTTTCAAAACACAAAGGTGCGCCTAAAAGGTAGCACGATAAATATATAAGGCGAAAAAGCGGCATCTTCGTTTGAGCCGCCAAAAATTTGAAGCACTATTCGGGGTCTTCGCGCCTGGAGCGTGGCAGCCATTTCTAAAGAGTTGTCTTGCTATTTGATCAACTTTCGAAATTCTAAAATTTTCCAGGAGGTTCCACTATTCTCAGAAAAACCGTTCGCAAAATTAAGCTTTTTATGGTGACCAAAATCCCACCTCCAGATCCCTGAATTCGGCCATGATGAGCTCAATGGCTTTCCGATCATCCGGGCTCCACTGATCGGAATTGTGACTTCTTGACCCTGAAGCTCGCGAAGCTTGTGAAGAAGATGCTTTTGCTTCGTCTCCGTCCAGTGTCGGCGTTTTAAACTTGGACGAGGTTGAGGATGCGCTCGGCTCGGTTTGCACCTTTTGGAGTGCCAGCCTTTCGAGCTCATCTTTTTTCTCCTGCTTGAGACTTTCATGTACAAGTTTTATCGCCTCGGTGCAGCTAGATTTCATGCTGGCCAACTGGCGTACGAAGGAATACAGCTCCAGGATTGGGACCTCTGAAAAATGATGATCAAGACAGATGGAAGCCTCGGTTTCTCTCACTCTCTCTCCCTCCCTCCCCCGCTCTCTCTCTCTCTCTCTCTCTCTCTCCCTTTCTCTCTCAACCTACCTCGAATCAAGGCCTTCAACGTCTGATGACTCGTAATAGCAGCGGGTGGGGTATCGACCACGCAGTCCAAAAGATACGTAAGGATCGATATCGGCACCTCAAAAGTTACGGATTTTTACGCACATTGCCGTAAATTTATGTGCGCTACAATAATACCGTCTCTGCAACAAAAAACCAACCTCCCCCTGCTGCTGGAACGCACCAGGCCGTTTCTGGTGCCTCCGAAGTAATGCAACGATAAGGAGTTGCAATTCCTCACGCGTGTTCTTCAATTCGTTTTCTAGTGTCGTAGCTTTTTGCACAGCTCCCCTTAACTTCGACAGCTCCTCCTCCTTCTGTCGCGCCACCGTGAGAGCCAGATCAAGCCTGTACTCCGTATGGAGGAGGTCATCACGCAAATGTTCCATTTCCTTCTCGGTTTCTGCGAGTTGCAGGATTGCTGCATTCAGCTCCCGCCCCTTTTGGCGGCGATCTTGGCTCTGCTTGATTACCTAAAAAAAACCTTGCCAGGTTCGTAGGGGAGAAGCAAAAATGCCGACAGCAAAGAAACCACTGACTAAAACCCGACACCGACATCGTAACTATCGACAAAAATCGTGTTTCGCTAAGAATTGCAATATCCTTTGCACGCTCTTTTTTTCTTTGGATTTGGCCTCTAGGTGTCGACATTTCCGCTTTCGGTATTTTGAAATTCCGCTAAGGATATCGACGCACTGCCATGGTCGATTTATTTCAATTAAAACAAACTACACTTCAAAACCCATACCGCCTCCTTCAGCTTGTCAAACCACTGGTAATCGAGTGCCCGTTCTCTCTTCGACTGCTCGATCATGTTGGTCAACGCCTTCTCAGACTGCGCATACTTTGCCTTCACCCGCTCAAGTTTAGCATCTAAAATACGCCAATTACACATCGAACTTGAAGCTGCTGATTTTTATTTAGGCTTAAGAAAGCACCTTGAAGCTCGAATGAATGTCTCCATTCCTCGACAACACGACGGGCCTCGACGAAAATATAGGCATAGTCGGGCTCGGGCACTCCGTGCTTTGGAACGACGGAGAAGTAAAGACTGGAATAGTAAGTAGTATTCCGTATACTATTTGGGTTTCATACCCGACGTCTTCATGCTCGAGATCGAGGCGGAAATGTTTGGGTTGATTCGTTTTAGCTGTTCCCTTTTTGGGTGGCGGTTCTGGCTCGTATTTGTAGCGTCGCCTATAAGGACCATATTTTAATATTTTAATAGATCCTGGCTGGGAAACGGACAAGACACACGCGCGCGCCAGCAACACGCACGTTACGTTACGTGCGTTACGTGTCACACCCGCGGAAAACTAACGAACCAATAAAACCAATTTAACTTGCCCATTAAAGGGCACGTTCAGGACGTTTTTTTGGAAAAAACAGAGATTTTTGCCGCGGCCGGGGGTCGAACCCGGGCCCCCCGCTCGGGAGGCGCGGATGGATACCAGTCAGCCACAGCTACAACCTGGCGAGGGGGCTAGGGGCGCCCGACGCCGCAAAGGAGGGGAATGGCCTGTCACAGCACGAGCAGGCCGTGCGCGCGGTCCCTACGTCCATAGGGTGTACACGTTGCGACGAGTACACGGCTCCTCCCTAAACGTGCGCTTTAATGTAGACGTATTGCCTTGGCTTCTTCTTTCGAGACGTAGTTTGTTGGGTCGCGTCGTCGGCCTCCATTCCGCCGCTGAAAAGGGGCATCGTAATTCGTAGACACTAATAAAAAATACTTAACTTCTCAAAGCTATGGTGCTGCACACCGCTCAGTGTTAAGATATTGCAATCCCTCACCAGCGTCGCTTGTGTCCGACTTTGATCTTGTCGTTTCGCTCATCGCTTCGGATGACATCTCCGGGGCTCATTGTCGTATCGGCCTCCATTTTTAAGCTAAAAATTCTTCGTTATTATCGTTGTCGACGTTTATTAGAATTTTATCGACTGTCTTCATGGTTTCTCCTTTGGCAAACATATTTTTGCAATAAAACAAAATAGCGACATTGACGAAATTAAGGAAATCTGAATCGATATTGACGATAGGAAGAACTTATGGCTCCTTATGAACATATTTTATTCCTGACGGTGTCATAGAAAATGCAGCACATCAAATTGGAAACTGGGGAAGAGAGAGGTAAGGCATGGACTTGTAACGGGGATCGACACGAAATGCACCGTAAGTCGCTTGGATAATACTTGTTGAATAGAAATTTGACAAAGACAAAAATATCGTAATGCATCCCTTGCGGTGAATATATGTAGAATGGCAAAATCTCATAGCGAGGTACGAAATTTGGCGAGGATTTAGCGGTGACAACCAGGAACTTGTTGCGGTAAATTATGGATGATACGCGGGATGGTCACATAAATTCGGGCCTTGAAATTGGTAAATACAAAATTATAGTGGTTGTTGAAGTTGGGCAAGAGGTTGGTTGTTGTAGAGGTAGTTTCGAGACGCGGCTGCTTAAATTCAGGGTTGTGAAGTGTCGTTTTGTAAATTATGATCTATCGTGACATTCAAGGATCGAAGCGGATCAAGCTTATCTTGTGCAGAATTTTGCGCTGATTCGGTAATTTGACAATCTGTGAAGCCCACAGATTAAAAATGAATCAGCTCGTACGCCCGAAAAAATGGTCGACATTCGAGAATTTTTTTGCTTTCGCACTTAAAGGCTTCAGCATTTTTTTAATCGGTTGGTTTCAAAGATTTTCCGAGGTTTGATCTTGACCAAAAACTCTTGTTAGCAGTAAGGCCCGTTAACAAAATGCAAACCTCACCTACAACTTCATGGCTGCTGTCTGCAGCTATCCAGTAGTAGGATCGCATCCGAACAGTTGTCCCGCATCTGTCCTAACAGGTGCGCAAAATAGAGCCGCAGCGGGCGCGGGGCATCTGAAGGGTAAAATTATTCACTATCGGAATCGCGAACATAGGGTCTTGAATTTCTATAGAGTGGTCCAAACCATAAAATCCTTCTAACAGAACCGAGTCGAATTGGAACGTTAGTTGTGTTATACAAAGCCCCCAAAAACGGCGAGTTCTGATTTTAGCATTATTTTTTGATTTATCGGGGGCTTTTTATCAAGGACTAAATTTTACAAAAAACTAAAATAAAACATTTGTTCAGTGAATTCGAAGACGCTCGCCCACCTTTAAACAATGTCGTCAAGGCCGGGTCATTTGATATCGCACCCGGCGGGGCATTGTTGACACGGTCCACCAGATAGGTGAGTTTAGGTGCTGGCTGCTGAAATAGATCATTTTGATCGAGTTTTTCAGGTAACTTTTAAACGATATCTGGTCGTAAGGTAACGTACTAAAGACTGACCGTATATGGCGCTGGAGATTGTGGCGAATACGGCGGTGTTTCTGGATCGTTCATTGGGGTAGGCCTACGTAACCTTGCGATCTCTGCTCTCGCCTCGTTCAACTCGGCCCGGAGTTGTTTGGCTTCAGCTCGGTGCAAAGCCATTTGCGATGGTCGTAGCACTTCCCTCAGTCTCGCCATTTCCTGCTCAACAAGTCGAGCCTTTGCTTCGGATCGCTCCCGGGCTTCCCGAAGTCGATGACACTCGATTAGTGCAGCGTCAGCCTCTTTTTCGGCCCGGTCCCGTTCCTCCTTTGCTTGCTGGAGTTCGGCGCCGGCTTGCTTTAGCTGAATCGAAATTGTGCTAATGTAAATCAAGTGCCTCGATACCTGTTCTTCCTTGGCTTCAATTTCTTGCTGGTAAAAATGCTTTTCTTCCTGGGTCTCCCTGATAACTTTGACGACCTTCCGTTTCGCTCTTCCGTTGGTCGCTTTAGCCCGTTCATATTTTGCTGCTAAAAGTACAGTGTAAGTGTAAGT